GAAAGCGATTGAGTTATAAGAAGTTATCGGCAACACCCAGAACGCCACCCTTAATTCGCCGTGTTCAAGGCCATGTACCATCAGAAGTTCCCCGTACAGGCTTGCTCCCTCAAGTAATTAATGGCTCCAGGGTGTCTCTTCATAGCGAAAAAAATGGGTTCCCATGACAATCTGCAAAAGTCCAATTTCCAAAGCTCTGCATAATTTCGAGATAGTTTTTTCCCTCGAAATAGTTTGGATTAGTTTAAGGCTGTCATGAAGTATAAAGGCAGCCGGTTGCTCAGTGGCGAACATGCCCGAGGCGTCTTTACTGTGTGTGGGAGCTTCTTCCGGGCTACAAATCATTCCGAGCCGGAAATGGAATTGACCTTTTCCGGAAACAGCCTTGACCTCTTTTCGGAAATGACTTCCTTGACTTTTTCCGCTCTGGAACAACTTGGTTCTTTGTATTTTTTTCCAATTTTTCTCATTTTTTCTTTATTTATTATCCGTTACAGCCATTGTGTCCCCTTCAAAACATCGGTCAATGTTCGAACGATTATGCGGATGCTGTAGCCGTAGCGCTTCTTCCAGTGAGGATGTCATTCGGGGTGATGAAGAGCGACGACTACGAGCCAATGATCGTATCTTCAATTCTCAGTTCAAATATGCGGTATGGCTAGTAGTTGGGGAACTGGGGGAGTAATTTGGTGGAAAGTCGCAATCATCGCTTCCATTTAGGGTAACTACATTAAAACGTCCAAGTACAATGTTATAACATTCATTCCGCAGAACTTATTTGAGCAATTCCAACGGATAGCAAATTTCTATTTCTTAGTATTAATGATATTACAGGTAAGATGGTCTTGGTTTTCTGTAAGTTCATTGCTGTTCAATCTCCATTTCAGTTTATACCTCAAATATCCTCCATATCATGGTATTCAACAGCCATTCCACTATTTATTGTTCTATCTTTTAGTGCTGTCAAAGATGGTTATGATGACTTAGTGAGTGCTTTTTAGATATAATTATTGGCCATTATTATCAGTTATATTTCCGACGTCATTTCGGATCTCCCTTACGTAGGGAGCTTACTTATTTCCTCAAACGCTAAGAGTTTCTAGGAGAACGGGGAAGTAAGCGTGAAATAATTTACAGTATACCTGAAACTGCTTTGATAATGGGATCTTCAAAGTAATCCATTGAGAAACTTGAAACATATGCTCCAATGCCTCAGGGGATTTTGAAGTTCATAATAACTTGGGTTTTCCTTAAAGGCACAGTTCACGATAATTCTGAGGTACCCTTCCAGGTTGAAAAGCGGAAGGGTTGAAGTAGATGAGTATGTACATCGGTGGCGAAGTAAGCAAAAAGCCTACTTCAAGCTTTTCAAGAGTAGTGGAAGTGGATGTACGAGATCACCGCGACAGGATTGTCATACAAGGGGTTTTTGGACGAGATTTAACTTGATCCCATCGCTCAAAGAGCTAACTGCATCAAACCATATCTGTCCAGAATTGCCTTTCACTGTCGCTATGGGTTATGGCAAGTTGTTTGAACCTCCTACATTGGTGCCCTTATGAATGGCGCAGCTTCTGCAAGGTCGTTGAAACTCGTCAACTATGGGTGTGGCATTCACACGATACAATCTCTGGCCCCTTATTGTGCCCTATCCAGAACGTTTTTCACTCTTATAACGACAGGTATGCTATAAAGAGGAGCCTCGGATTCATACTATGAGGAAATCTCAGAAACCACTTTTATTGTGAACTGTGCCATTACCTTATGCTCTCCAAAAAGGTTCCCGGGTTTGATCAAAAGATCAACCAGTCCCATGCGAATTCGTAGCGCCCTTATCAGGCTGACTCAGAAGTTTGCATGATAAAGTCTTTTAATAGAAGTTTTCCTAGCACAAGTCACAACGTTGACGGTTGTCATGATAAGAAGCCTTTCGGCAGCCGCGGCCCCTGGAATGCAACACAAGCAGGTGGAAGTCAGAGAGGGGACCTACCTAGACGGATGAGGCTGTTTTAGCAAGCTGGCCTAAGCTGGCCCTCATGGTTTTGAATATCAAATGGTTAGATCATCGCCAGTTGGTACAAAGATTTTTGAAGTGACATTCAAGTGACTTCCCCTCACTCTTCAAAGCAGGCAGTGCTTACACTGGGACCATTTCTTTTCATCGGTCTCACAGTTTGGTCTCACAAGGCTGGCTAACTCCCACTTGTCCCATTGCCCAGTGGCAATGATTTTTATATGCAAAAAAATAAATCCGTGTTCACCTCCCATGTAAAGTAGATAATGAGGGAGAAATCAGGGTTGGTATAAACTCTGAGATTAACGAAGATTTCTTAATAATGGATGTCATAAATAATAATTCCATGAGTCATATTTGAAATTGCATACATCCAGAATTTGTGACCTGCGAAGGTAGCCTTCCGCGCTAGCCAAATCCCATAGTTTGAGCAGGGTTCCCTAACTCTCGAGGGGTTCCTACCTCTTATGGCCACCTAACGACTGTAGCAAAGCCTATGCTGGTACCGCGAAACACTTTCATTCGATTCTGGCATGTTCGACCCGGTGTGGGAATGCTTTGAGCTTTGTTCAGGCGATATAGCAGTGATCACAAAGAGCCTGCCCGTGGCTCATCCCCTTGTTATGCCAATCGCTTATCGGCGAAGAACGTGATTGATTTCAGCAACGGCATATCTCCGATCGGAATGTGAACTGTCGAAAGTCATTTGTGGTACAGAATGGCCATCTGAACGAAGAGGAATGGGCGAAGGTCAGAGTGGGCGATGTGATCCGAATGATGAGCAATCAGTTCGTCGCTGTGCGTTTTAATGTTCTTATTGAGGGAACTTCCGATGAAACCGACAGCTAAGAGCAAAAACCAGTGCAAAAGAAAAATGTTTAGGCTGATCTGTTGCTGCTTTCGACATCCGAGCCTCATGGTATTTGCTACATTGAGACGAAGGAGTTGGACGGAGAGACAAATCTGAAAACGAGAGGAGCCGTAGCTGAAACTGCTGAAATGGGAGACAACCTTGATGCCATTAGCAAGTTCGACGGTGAGTTTTTTTTCGGAAGGGCCCTGGTGGCCAGCCGCCCCATTCAGGTTAACATTCACTGATTATTTCAACTATTTTATATTTTCTCTATCTTTTCTCTACCTTACGACCCTTCGAATTACACACAATCTTCAGGAGAGATCATCTGTGAAGCACCGAATAACAGGTTGGACAAGTTCAATGGGAAGCTGTTGTGGCAGGGTAGGGAACTTCCTATCAACAACGACAATATTCTTTTGAGAGGCTGCATTCTGAGAAACACCCGATGGTGAGTTCAAGATCTTCCCGCTTCCCGAATTTCTCGACTTTTCTAAACCTCATTAGACGAAGTTGTCCAGTGAAATTTCCAGTGAGTGAAATCAGCTATTATAGATCAATCGCTTTTATATTAACTCCCAGGATTATGACAGACATCATTCAGACCGTTTCTGGGGTCAACAAAGGTTCTTGACGGTTACCAAAAAGCTTTAGCCACTTGTGGCAGAAAGACATTCGTCTTCGACATCTTCAGCGACACCTTGTTAACCACGTAGTGGTGTTTGAATAAGGCAATCCATCTTTTCTGACATTCCTAACATAAGATCGGTCGTAATCCCTTACAGCATGAAGCAAATGTATCTTCGGATATCAGAATTCGATTTCTCGTAATGTATACTTCGGAACGGAGGAAGTGTAGTGGCAATTGGTGGACTACTATATAACTCATGGTCCGAGATCGGATGGTGGCTTCATCTGGGAAAGTGATCGCGCTGAGTCTTACATGGCAACCACAAGCCAGCGTATAAGTGCCACTACGATTTTAAACGGAAGTCGAGTACGGGGATGCACCCAAAACGGGATTTGTCAACACCGAAGAGTTTATTTAATTTATTTCAAAAATGTACTTTTACAATGAAGTACAGGAATTGGTGATGGCGCCGCTTCAAATGTTAGCTTTTCATCCTATGCCAGCAGAACCCATACCGGAGTTCGATGATTGTTCTGAAAACCACGCACTGAGGGGATACATTTCAATTGCGTCTTCAAATGTGTTGTTTCTCCCTGGTTTTGCCTCAGTTCATCGAGTATTTCCTGAGGCACTGATTCTGGAACACGTTGAGTAGGTTGAAAAATGATAGTTACCTCAAAGTCGCACCAAAGCGGTCTGCAGCAAAAAGTCATTGTGATATGTTATAATATAATATATTTTGCGATTCTAGTTGATCCCAGGACCACCAGAATAGAGGGATATGGGTGAAAGGAGTGTCATGACAAGAATAGGTAGTCACCAAAAGCATGCACAAGGTGCAGGCTGCAGGTGATGTGTCCACTACGTGAAAGCCCTTCACTCGTTAATTACTCGACAACAAATTGATATGTCGAATAGCAAAACACTAAATGGCTGTCACGTTAAGCTATTTCACCAGTGAAGTTATGACAGAAGAAAGTTAATGGGATTTCGATACAAAAACTAAGTCTCTTCTAGAGCGGGTTTCTCCAAAAACCAACTCTGAGCAAAAACTTCCCAATTCATTTCGAAAGTGGTAATATGCACAGATATGGAGACCTAGGAGACTACATTAAGTGACTCTTTTGAAATTGTTCTTTCAAGCGATTTTCGATGATCCCCAGCTTCTCTTCCATTAATTCCACAAGCTCTTCAAAACATCTGAGCTCTGATCCTCAAAACATTCTAGAATTTAGACCTCTTGCACGTCTTACCAATTCGAATTCACTGGTTTTACTTGAACTTTGATTTATTCAATTTTTATCCAATTGAGCTGTGCCACAGAATTCAGAAGCAGTAAATTAGTTTCTCAAAAATGGCGAAAGAAACAAAAAAGATTCTGGAAAGAAGGCATAAGCAACAGGACTTTAAAAAAAGACCTAAAAAATTAATTGAAGAAATAGGATGGGAGGGTCACTCAGTGAAATTACAGCTGATACCCTTACTCTACCCACAAGTTTTTTCTCCACGAACAGGTCGTTTTTCAACAAAAAAAAAACGAAGATGTTCTTGTGAGCTCGTGATCGTTGCTTGTAAAGAAATGCTGCTGTTCCAAAAAAACCTCGTACGTGTCGATGTTCGTGGTAAACACAACTTCAAAAGGTTGCGTTGTTTGCACTGAAGCGAGTAAGCAAACAGACACGTCATTTCTATCCAGGAAATGGTACCCATAAGGACAATCTAACCTTTGTTTCAGGTGCTATGGCTTGGTGATATTTGCCGGGAAAGACACGAAGCTGATGATGAACTCGGGAAAGTCAAAATTCAAGCGGACCAGTCTCGATCGGTTCCTGAACATACTCATCATGGGCGTAAGCATTAGCATTGGTTTCCCCGATTGAGGACCTTCCTCCTTCCAATCACTTCTGTTTAGATCGTGTTATTTCTGATAGCGATGTGTCTGATTTGTACGATTCTGTGCGGTGTATGGGAGTGGACGACGGGACGATGGTTCACCATCTACCTCCCATGGGATGATATTGTACCGAATAGACAACAACATGGTAATCGTTGCTTTTGATCCTCTCATAGACGAGTCGCAAAGAGTATTTTATACTTTTTTCTCTTTGGGCATGAATGAGTGCAATACTTTGTTTCTGTTCTTCAAGTGCACAGTTCGCGATGAAAATGGTTCCTGACATTTCTCCCTGAAATGAACCTGTGACTCCCAAGGATGACACAGAGACGCCGTCGGTTCGAAAAACGACCTAGATTGGGCGTAGTAAGGGGATCAAAGCCGGTTCAACCGACGTACACTCCCGAATGCGGACAAGTTTCACGGCAATGTAGAGGTTGTAGCGATTGCACCATTTAACGCGGGTAGTACTCGTTTCGCGCAGGTAGCTTACTGTAGCCAGTTGTACACAGTGGCGCACACATTTAGACAGCTCGTTCAAACACCCCTTATACCCTTTCAACTTTTTTCTCTAACCCACCGATTATCCCTCTTCTTCGCCACTTTTGCCCTATTCTGGACTATCACATTCGTTCAGAAATGTCGTAAAGTTGTAAACTGTTGTAATTGTAAACTGTAAATTGTCGTAAACTGTGCCTTTGAGCTACTCCTAACTGTTCCTGAAAATCAATAATTTTGTAACGAGATGATTTTATAGAAGAACGGAGCAGTAAAGGATTAAACTGCAACAGATGGTAGGACCTTCGGGGAAGCTGGCTAAAGCTCTTTCGAGCAGGCATTTCTCGTAGTGCAGCCCTGTTCCCAAATGTATAACCAGTGAAAAGAACAATTTTGCTGGCAGCCGTATTTTGACCCGTAGGGTCCTGAATAGGGAAGGAGAAGTATCGTACTTACAAAAAGATCCCTCCGTCGTCAACGGTTCCAAACTGCACCCAAATAGACTCTTATTTTCTTGACCACTCTTCTTCTTGCTACACTGCTTTTATATTCGACTATTTCCAATCGATTCCGATGTCTGTTTAACTTGAAAATTCGGCTAGACTTTTTTTTTTAGAAAAATGACGTAGTAATTTATTTTGTTCAGGTTCTCAACAAATCGCGGTCATTTCGTTCCTGATGTTCTTTTCTTATGTGATCTTACTGAACACCGTAGTGCCGATATCGCTTTACGTTAGGTACGTTTTCCTTAGCTTGCTTTCTCACTCATATCTGCTCACCGAGTATGCTCCAAAATTTCCCCAAAATAAAAATATTTTAGTGTGGAGATTATTCGCTTCATCCATTCGCTCTGGATCAACTACGATCAGGAGATGTACTATGAGAATGGCGAAAATAGCGTACCAGCACGGGCACACACTACCACACTGAACGAGGAACTCGGACAGGTTTGAAGATTGAGACCTGCTGTGTGGGAGATACGACTGAGCAGCAGTGCCATTGCAGGTGCAGTACGTGTTCAGTGACAAGACCGGAACCCTCACCAGAAACATCATGACGTTCAACAAGTGCACCATCAACGGCATCTGCTATGGCGACATTATTGATGCTCGTGGTGAAATAGTCGAAATTACGCCTGTATGCTATTTCCTTCACTTCAGAAAATGCTTTCTCGTTCTTCTCCCCTCACACTGCGTCCAATTCTGTGATTGACTCACCCTTCATGAAATAAAAAACAGAAAAAAAAACAAAAAACGAAACTAATCAAAAAAAAGCAGCTAACGAAAAATGTTGCGTCCTAGCGATTGGTGGGGAGGGGGGATGAGTATGGGAATTGCAGTTTGGAGCCGCGGGACAACTAGAAAAGATTTGCAGCATGCCGCAAATGGGAAGCATGGGAAGTCGGGGAGAAGTTCCGTTACCCTATTGCCTGAGATAGCTCGAGATATGTGGTCCTTTTTGAAGTAATATTTCATGAGGTAGGATGAGGTTTCAAATGACGGAGTGTTTGGACGAGATTTCCGTTACTAGGACGTGTCTTGCTTATTGGCTTGTATTAGGTGACTGAATTCACAACAAGCGAAATTGTGAAATCTTTTGGGTGTGGCAGTGGCTGTTGCATTTTTGAGTTCTTTATGCCTCTATATCGCTTTGCAATCCAGCTAGGTCAGCTGAAGATCATAAATTCTTACTAACGGGAAACCTATGATGACATTTCTATCGCTGACTGAACCTTCAAAAATGGGACTACGGGCAAGTCAGAGCTCTCCAAACGGCGAGTTTCAAAGAGTACATTTGGCCAGCCTTGATAGCTATGTGCTAGTCACAACAAAGGCTCATCTCAGACATTAATTGCAGTAGTTTCCGAAAGAAAGCAAGCAATCTCCCTCGAAATTCTAGTCTTCCCAGCATTGGAAGTAGAATGGGCTACCACAAAAAGCAGATTTTCCACATTTCGAGCATATTCTCAGCAACTTTGTCGAATGCCTTTGTTCTAGGACTTTTGTGTTTCAGAAGACTAAATCGGTTGATTTTTCGTGGAATTCCTACTACGAGCCAACGTTCATGTTTTACGACCAAAAATTGCTGGATGACACGAGAAAAGGTGTGCCTGAAGTGAGTTCTGCCATGTTCACCTTTATATATACACCCAATGGCCCTGATGCCAATTCAAGGTTACTGAATTCTGGCGACTGTTGGCGCTGTGCCATACGGTGATGCCGGAGCAGGACAAGGGACGGCTGGTCTATCAAGCTCAGTCACCGGACGAAGCCGCGCTAACGTCAGCCGCTCGCAACTTCGGGTACGTCTTCCGGGGCCGCACTCCGCAGTCGATCACCATCGAAGTGATGGGCAAGCAAGAGGTACCGATTTCTCAGCTGAGGCTCTTTTTTGTCTCTACAAACAACGTTTCTCTCTGAATCTGAGTACAGCTAACGCCATAGAGCAATAAACACAACTTCAAAACAACTTGGGGAATTTGAACTAGCTCAAGAATTTTAGCCTATAAATGCTGAATTAATCTGTTTGGAAAGGGTATTGTTACAAGCGAGTAAATGTACTATTTGAAAAATCAGTGAGCTCTCCCTAAACATTTTCTGTGAAGTTCAACGAAACGGGACAAGTAGGTCGTTAAAGGTGGGAGCCGTTAGCTGTTTTATCATGGGGACACGGAACAGTCAATGAGATGGGGACAAGCCTTTTTCTAGTTGCTTTAATATAATGTTGGGAATGATAAGATATCTAGAGCGTCAGGCCACATTCGACTTCCTTTCTTTCAAATCAATCTGTTGGTCTTTTGAGCTCTTTCGCATCAGCGACTTATGAAATTCATTATTCAGCAATCAACTGATTGTGTGTGAGTCCTAGAACGAATCTTGAAATCTGTATCGCCTCGGCACTCGTCTGAAGTGTCATCTATCAAGGGCCAGGAAGCCCTGGTCATCCGCTAACAGGGCTTCCGCTACAGGGTGACCCACATGAAGTGTGACGCAGAAAACTAGCATCAAAATTATACAAATCAAACCAAATAGGAATCATTTACTCCTGTACAACCATCACAAAATTGTAGACAACATCACATTTCGCACAATGACCACCTTTCGCTTTAATGCAAGCATCCAACCTCTGTCGGAAGTTTTCAAGAATGCGCGCGATCACTTTCATCCCACGCACAAGAGAGCTTTTTTTTCGGATTGTCCAAAGACCTGTGTTTGAAAGCGCAGGCTTCTTGCTCCAGTATCGTCCATACAGCGAAATCCAAAGGATTGAGATTGGGGAATTTGATGGACAAACCTGTTTCGCCCCAAAACTCGGAAGCGTCGTTTCACGACATTGCAGCATCTTCTTTGCGCTGTATGCTGGTGCCCAATCCTGCGAAAGGTTCAGCTGACGCTCATGGCATTAGTAACCACCAAATGACCGCTTGATACCTGTTCTGCTATCATTTCACCCACTTTCCAAACAGAAGAAGCTTTGAAACCATAAATGGAAACACCTCTTCTGCAGTTGCATTCTCCGTCACTTATCAAATGAAAAATTTCCCAAAAATTCCGGTTTTTATGTTTCCCTCTCTTTAACAATTAGTTCTCAATAAACTTGATGATGACGCTTACAACTTTGACTGGTGAAGACCGAAGCAGAGAGGTTCACCACTAAACATTCAAATTGCATTTTCATAGTTTACAAATCCTGATTTGAGGTTTTCATTCAGGTGTACGAGTTGCTATGCATCCTCGATTTCAATAATGATCGTAAACGTATGTCAGTAATAACGAGGAGTCCTCAAGGTAAAATACGCCTCTACTGCAAAGGAGCCGACATGATGATAATGCAGAGGTGAGTATGAGCATCTGGCTGAATTTCTGGTTTTTGAGGATCTCCCATAGTTGGTTTTTGAGGATCCTCCATGGTCATTCGAAGATTCTCTATGGTTCAATGGTTTTGTTCAGATTGAAATCATCCACGTCACCATTGCTGATCAGCTCCACCAATACTCACCTTGCCGAGTTCGCCAACATCGGACTACGAACTCTTTGCTTGGCCTACAAGGATATCGAACCAGCTTATTTTGAAGATTGGATCGTGGGTTACATCTATCGACAGAGGGTCGAATAAGAACCATATGGTTCTTCCATTTCAGAATCGCCAACATGAGGCAGCTGTTGATATGTACAACCGTGAGAAGAAACTTGAAGCCGTGTACGAAGAGATGGAAAGAGGTAGAAGGGCTTTAGAAAACTGCTTCGATGTCGTCATGCCCACTATGATTTCCTTAGATATGACTCTCATTGGTGGGACCGCCATCGAGGACAAACTTCAGGACGGCGTTCCAGAAGCGATAGCTCGACTAGCCGAGGCGAATATAAAAATCTGGGTGCTCACTGGAGATAAAACGGTAAGGATGCCTTTCAGAGTATGTAAGACGACCGGTTGAGAACTGTGATATCCAAGTTTGCATGGTGTTCTTCAGGAAACTGCAATCAATATCGCCTACTCGTGCAGACTATTGACAGATGACATGAAAGAGATCGTCGTCATCGATGGTCAGACTCATAGTGAGGTTGAAGTTCAACTGAAAGACACCAAAACCACCTTCGATCGCATTATGAACCACGCGGTTGGTCCGCTCACTTCCACCGAGACTATTAATACTTCTTCCAGTTCTTTTCTGCTACTTCTCCTACTCTCCTATCTTCTAAATGTCCCCTTTTTCGGTTAGCGACGACCACGTCCATACGTAAGGGATAGGACGGTAGATGAGTACATTCGAAACATTATCGCTCAACTTGAGGAAGGCGAGACGGTACTGCTGTAACTCTAAATTAACATGTGCTTCTCGGTTTACTAACAACCTCAATTAGATGTGCATGTGTCTTTTCTGGCAACTTACCTTGATTCAGCTTACGGTAGAGGACGTTCGGTAGTAGTTTCGAAGGCCTGACAAAAGCTTGTTTCCTTTGCTGTCGGGTCTTTTCGAAAACTTTCTTCTGTTTTCCTCTTACGAGCCGAGTTTTTTCAAAAACATCTCACTTTGCAGCAGCAAAGCCCTATGACGCCCGCAGAAAAGCCTCGGTTCGAGATTGAGACCATTCACGACGACGGTCAGCCTTCCACCATGACCTACGGCAGTGAGTGTCGCTCTATGGACATTAAACAATCACTACTTTCTTCAGTATATTTGACGTTTCAGTTGCGAACACGTACGACTCGGCCCCTGTAGTGAAGGAAGGCGACGGTGGAGTGGCTCTGGTGATTAACGGCGATTCACTAAGCTTCGCTCTTGACGAACGCCTTGAACGTCTCTTCTTGGAGATTGCTACCATGTGCATGGTGAGCGATGTACAATAGTTCCACCTTTTGGAAACTGGTTCACGTCCGTGAGCAACAAGTACAGGCCATGTTGGAAGAAACATGGCCTTAAAACAAAATGTAGTAGAACCAACGAAGGTGGCATCAGTCCAGTTTCAAAGAGACTAAATAAGCCAAAACGGCCATCCGGGATTGCGAATTCACTGCAACATAGAATGGAAATGATCGGACAGTGTAACGACGTTGGGGCTCGCCTTCCCAGCGCAGTATAGGGTGTCCCAGAAGTATTGAAAAAATTTATTTGGTCTATTCAACACAAAAATACTACGACAAAAAGATGAATCAGTAATCGAGATAGTGGCCCTCTTTGGCCACGACGCCCCTCCATCGATTGGGAAGAGCAACTATGCCATTTATCCAGGAAGAAGAAGGGCGTGAAGCGATCCATTCATCCACTGCTTGCTTGATCTCCTAATGGTTGTTGAATTTTTTCCCTATCGTGTAGGCCTCTAAGGCCCCGTGTAGGCTTCTGAAGGCATGGTAATCACAAGGACTAAGATTAGATGAATATGACCGTCACCTCAGTACCCTCATTTAAGATCTCGTAGTATATGCAGCCGGTCGAGTAGAAGAACAATGATATCATCTCCTTTCTGGCGTGGGCACCACGCTTTGGTACGGGTTGAGGCTTCACGTCCATTGGTAGCCACTACAATTTCCTGTGTTTATTTTCATAAGGTATCCGCTTTTCATCCTGAGTGATAATGAAGTATGTCCAGGTCGTCGTTCGCTTACGGTTGAGAAGTTTCTGGCAGAATCAACTCGCACTCGACGCTCGTGTTCAGTAAAGGAACGGGGGATAACTCCAAGGAGCGCTGCACGAAGGCGACTTTGGCGCAGGCTCCTGTTGATAGTGGAATGAGAAGGAGCAGTCGTCCCTTCCACTTCCCCCGGGCTTTGAGAAGGATGCTTTGAGCGGAAGCTTAAACAATATTGGTTTGAGGAGCGTGAACGTCTTCTGCGAGGAGCACCGTCGAGGGGAATCTCCTCTCTAGATAAGCGAGTGTATCACCTATAGCAGGTGAAAAGTGTGCTGGTTCTGCAAGGTTGGCCACGCGGGAGTTGAAAATAGGCAATCCACAAAATCGGGCACGAAATGAACGATAGCTCACGGGTTAGCCGCAGCACAGAAAGATCCTCAATTGGGTAATTGAACTTTTATCAATATTCGAAACATCGTGATTTCGCAAAATGTGAAAAAAACGAAAATTCATAATACGAGGCGAGAATGAGAATTTTCTTCCTCAGTTAGAGATCCGACAATAAACCTGATTTGGGCAAAGTGAGCAAGAAGAAATGAGTTTGGTATGGCCTTCGGTAAGGACAAGTATAGTACAAGAGCTTCTTTTCTTCGTCTGTGTGGATGCGGGTCCGATAGGAATGAATTGGAGGTACAATTGCCAGGCAGCAATTATAACTTCAAAGGATGAGCATGAGATAACAAATGACCTTTATGGATTAAAATCTCATCAAAACAGATTACGTGAACAACAATGCGCAACAACGTGCATAACATCAAGGAAATCCAAAACTTGTGGGTCGGCGTGAATTTTATGACTTGTGGGTCGGCGTGTCGAAGTGGCGCCTTGGCAGACTTAGCGTTTGGGGCGACGAGGGGGCTCCGGAAGACGTAGGGTTTTAGGGCGCGACAAGGGGCCTCTGGTGGACATGGGTTTTTTAGGCCATGGGAAAAGGAAGATTAAAGGACGCGTAAGGGAGTACGGAGTAAGGATGCGCGTCGACTGTGGATCAAAAGAGGTGCTCGATTCGAGCACAGGAAGGTGGGGCGCACTGCTGCCCATCGACGAACATAGCTTCATATCGGTAGTAATGAAGCAGAAGGCGCCGGTAGTCGTTTCGGTCGGACATAACTCAAATGATGATAACTCACTTCCAAAGATGACGTGCAATACCTCCAATACCGTGCCCTTTTCCTGCCCTTTTCTCCGTGGCTCTTGCGCAACATGGTTGCGAAATACATGACCAAAATTTCTTCAAAACTTTTGGGACACCTTCTATGAAGAGGACCACTTTCAGGCAGTGATTTGTTGTCGGGTGACGCCACTACAGAAGGCACAAGTGGTGGATCTGGTGAAGAGAAACAAAAAGGCGGTGACGTTGTCGATTGGCGACGGCGCCAATGATGTCTCAATGATTAAAACTGCTCATATCGGTGTAGGAATATCAGGCAAGTCAATGGTATTCCCAGATATTCGTTGAAACGAAAGAAATGGTGCTTCTTTTCCAGGCCAAGAAGGAATGCAAGCAGTGCTGGCATCCGACTATTCGATAGGGCAGTTCAGATATCTCGAACGATTACTGCTTGTTCATGGAAGGTTTGTATCTGAGTCGCATTTCAGGAAATTTACAATGGAAAATCACTTCATTTCAGGTGGTCTTACTTTCGAATGGCGAAGTTTTTGAGGTATTTCTTTTACAAGAACTTTGCGTTCACCCTGACAAACTTCTGGTATTCATTCTTCTGCGGATACTCGGCACAGGTGAGATTCTTCTTGATATTTTCCCTTTCACTACCTCTTCACAGCGAGTCACCGGTCTGGGCATGACATACCACAGTTCGAACCAGAGCTGAATGTGTTTATCTGCTTATGTTGATTGTTCTGTAGTTACACAACACTGACTGTTACAATCAACCTTTTACTGAAAGATCTGCAGTGAATCACCATAGATTGTCACAATGTCCTTACTAAAAACCACTCTGTTCGTTCAAATTTCCCAATTTCCGCGCTCTCTTTGATCATTTTGTTCATAAAGGAGAAATTTCGCCTTCTATTCGAGGGCAATTAACCAAAAAAAGAAGCACGCAGAACAAGTTCGCCGTCTGGCGAAGATAAAAGTCATGCTGCTGCTTCTTGAGCATTGTTTGAATTATGGGTTAGGTGGCGAAAAAGGAATTGTCACAGTGGGCTACTGGAAAGTAGAACATTTGAATTTCAGGAGCTGAATTTTGCAGTAGACGAAAACGGCGACAAAATCAATTTAGTTAAAGTCCATTCTCGAAGTAGAAGACCTGCCACGGGCACCTTGTATAACCACAGTGGCCTTGGTAATAGTGAAAAACTAACAAGGGAAGGATCCCAAGTCGAAGTGTCCATTTGAAATGGGACCTATACTGCTAGACGTATTTTTTGACGCTGATTTCAAATCTGCTTCAAAATCTGCCAAACGATTCTCTGAACGAAGTTATGGAGGTGGTCTCCGGAGAGCGCTCAACATAGGAAACCACAAAAGCCATGGTCGCTGGAAGCCCAGCAGTGGCGGCTTGGAGTGGAGGTAAACGTGATGCTTCATAGGTACGGGACCAAGGATCGGGT